TTTTGATAGGATTTTGTTAATGAAAGATTATACGTGATATTGCTTCAATAAAATGTGTACTTATTTTTGTATATTTAAAGATTTTCCGTGGTTACATCACCATCCCTATCATAGTCTCACGTCTATCGCGGAGAACCTAACGGGTAACCGGGGCTCCAGCTCGACGTACAGGAGAAGGAACGGGGTGGTTTTTAGTCAGTAAGAGTTTGATACTCCCTCCCGCCTAGAGATGGGCAATGATAATAATCCGGTTAATATCATTCGGCTAATAATCGATTAAAACTCAGTTAATAGCCATTAATAGCCATTGTGGCTGATAACCCTGCTGTTAACGTTATTTTAGTGATTGAAAATTTCCCTCTATGATTTTCACGCTTAGGACTGTCAGATTAGACTTCATTTTCATCATCTTTGTTTGTAGTAAATAAATGTGCAATTTGAAACTAATCTGGCCCACTTAAAACGAGAGCACTTCACATACCGAGCCTTTGCCTGCTCGTTTCGTTTTCTTTCTTTGTATGTAGGTACATCAGTTTGAGTACTAAAGGTCCTTTCCGTAGTCGCTGTACCCTGTAAGGAGCTGATAAAGCTTACACATTGGACCTTATGCCGGATGCGATGGCGATAAACTGAATATCCCAAAAATTGTGCATTTATTTTATTATTAACACTTTTTCACATACAATAAGTGAAAATAAAAAATAAAGAATTACAATACATTGAATCACATTGCGTACACATACCCAATTTAACACTAAACAAAAAAAAGCATTAATTTTTTTTAACAATTCATTAACAGCAGGGTTATCATCCATTGCGAGGCTATTAATGGACACTTATGGATTATAATCGATAATAACTCAAAGCAGCTGGCTATTTACCCAACACTACTCCCGCCTCACCCAGGCGGGAGCAGTAATTAAATGATTTTCCACCCTTAAAAAAAACGTCTCACGTCTATAGTTTACAATCTAAGTCTTCAGTCTAAAATCCACACTTAAGTCTGCAGTAAAAAGTCTACAGACCACAGAGTACAGTCTGAAGTCTATAGTTAACTGTGATTTCAGACGATGAATGTCATACAGCGTAAAATCTAAAATCAAGTAAGTAGTATTAGTAGTTAGTAGTACCTTTTTTATGGAATTAGCCGGTATACGTATATGAGCTGACGGATGACCTGATGATAAGCAATTTGCTTGTTTGTTGGGGATTCAGGAATTACGCAGATTTTTGGGGTAGTTCGGGCGATTCATTAAGTTACAATTTCCATATGATAAGAGGTGTACAAGTACATACTTATATATCTTATCTTTGTGCCTTTAAGCTTAATTCACTCTGTCTCCTTTAGTAATTCACCGAGGGAAGTGGAAACTACCGTTTTTTTTTCTACTCTTATAATATCTTCTGATTCACTTCAATGCGGGAACCAAGACAGTTGTTCATGTCCCTGGGACGCGCCGGACTTCAGTGTTACGGTGTTTTCATGGTTGTATCTACTATAGATCCTGGCTTACAGGACATGCAGCGGTTTTGGGAGGATGTGGCGGGCTTGTCCAAAAAAAAAACTGATATATTAACTAGGACTAAGTCACAGTTTTCATCCTGTTACTGACCAGCTCCTTCTATTAAATTAACTGCCGCCATTGTTTACGACGTCCGGTAATCTTTTTAATTATTTTCAACGTCATTATGACTCTAATTACCTAATGAACTTTTTAGACATTCTAATGAAGATTGATGCGAAATGACAATTAAGTTTAACGAAAAATTGTTTGAGTACGTACATAAAACAAAGTCACTTTGTTATTGCATTGTACAAATAACATCCTATAGAAGCGAATCAACCATTTGACATAATAATTCAGATGTACTTATGTCTAATCGGCTAGGTTATTCTGTAACTTTCAATTCGAAAGATCGAAGTGAAGTCGATCGCGATCCGCCATGTCATTGGTTGTGAGAATAATCTCGACCAATGACGAGCGAGAATGCGATTGAACTCACTTCGAAAGTCCGAATTGTCAGTAGTTTAACTTTCATACTAACAATACCTCTATGAATATTTCAGACAATTCATTTTATTTTATCGCTCTCAGTCCATCATTTAACTTAATGACTATTTATAGCAAACTCAAAGAAAATACAAAAATAATGACATCATATTTACAAAATACGCCCAAAAACTCAATCTCCTGGAGTAATCCAATTTCATTTCTTTCTCCCCCGACTCAAAACAATCGTTTTGTGCCATTTTTACTAATGATATCAAATGACAGACAAGAGCAAAGCTTTCAAAAAGTTATTTCTGCTTAAACATATCAATTTTGGAATTGAGGGAAATAAATAATATTGTTACTTGAGTTTTGTTATCTGTGCTCGACCATTTTGCACCACAGACTAAAAACGAAAATGAACCCAAGTTGATAGGCTAGGTGGCTAAATTTAAAAACGTACATATTGTACCTAGTCACAAAACAACATTATCTTGTTTATTCTTTTGAAATATAATGTAAATATCTAAATCACAACTAACTCGTTGGCAAAAAATTGCAATAATAGGGATAATGACAGGGTATGAAAATCTATTTAATCCTGTCAGTCAGGTAATGGAAAAATATCAGACACGTATTTTATTTATTTTGTTGTATAATAAAATAATATTTAGATAAAACGAATCAAAGTTTTGAAGAATTGGGGCTAAAACGGCATTTCTACGTATAAAATGTACATAGAAGTGACGTCACGCGACATTTCAATTCAATATATCGTCGAAAGTATTATTTTCTGTAAGAAAATTAAAGAACGTGTTTAATGTCTATAGTCCACATATACCTATAGTCCACAATAAAGACGATTTGATTTGATTTGATTTGATTTAATGTTATAAAATAATATACCAGACGGACATTAAAATAAAAGTTAGTCGTAAACATACATACATACATAACACTACGCCTTTTATCCCCGAAGGGGTAGACAGAGGTGTACATTATGGTACTTAATGCCACTGTACGATGTAACACCTACTTTTCACTATTTATGTTACGAGTCCCATGTAATAGGGGGTGAGCCTATTGCCATATTAGTCATAAAAGTTTGTCGTCTACCCTATTAATGTTGACCTAAGCTACATCGATGCCAATCTTTTCAACTGTCAACTGGGACTGGTCAGCTCCAGACTGTATTATTGTCCTTAAGGTTATTTTCTTTTTTGATCACTTTGACTGGATTTTAGTGTTACATTGTTCTCGCACAATCCAAACAGCAAAACTATGTAACTAGTAAATTGTATTGTGAACCTGATTGATAAAGAGTAACCTATGGAGTTTCTTGCTCGTTCTTCTCCATAGGAATCTACACCTTGGAATGAGCAAATAGCTTCACTTTCATTTTTTTTTGACGTTCAAAAGTGCCATTCTGGCCTAATTGAAATAAATGATTTTGACTTTTTTGACTTTTTCAGAAGGACAAAAAGCACGTGTAAACTGTACAAATAAATTGTAAATACAAAAATGTTACGTAACATATAAACCAATAAGTGTACACACAATTATTTGTGCAACAAAATCGAAATATGGTTACGTTACTATTTGTTTAACATGGACCTGGCGAATTTCCCAGCGGTACTCCTTAACCCACGCTAAATGTCCAAACTCACCTTGTAGCTATTTTAGAAACTGTTATATAGTAGGTATTATTGCAACGTCTGCATACAAAGTTCGATTACTGAGCACACAAAGACTGCACGGCTAGCTCGGTGGCTGGGTAATTGGCTGCCGCGCAACGTGTCGCGGGTCCGATTCCCGCACGGAGCAACTCTTTATGTGATCCACAGATTGTTGTTCCGGTCTGAGTGTCATGTGTATGTGATATTTTATGTTTGTAAACGCACCCATGACACAGGAGAAAATCCTAGTGCGGGGGAACGGAACACCCAGACCCGAAACAACAATTTGTGAATCACAAAAAGTGTTATTCCGTACGGGAATCGAACCCGCGACACGTTGCACGGCAGCTGGTTGCCCAGCCATCGCACCAACTGTCCAGTCTGCAAATGTAATACAAGGGTTAAACTGAAGTACAATTTATTTGTCAATAGGTATCTATCCTACAGTCTGCCTGTACAGTCAGCCATGAAACACTCTGCATATCTACTTTTTTTTAGAAACACCGGGAGCAAAATAGATTTTATTTTTCCGTTCGTTTGGTGCCGCTCGACCGTGGTGTCGATAGTGTGAAAATTGCTAAAAACGTAAAAAAAACTTACCGGGGTTTCAATCAACAAACCTTTTTACGTTTGACGCGGCGACATCACCAACCTAAAGATTATATTTTTTATTTTTCGCTGCCTGAAAAAACCGGTAAACCTTGGTCCGTGTAGGTGATATTAAAATTTTTTGAAAATTCCTTAATAGTTACGAAATATGACAAAAAATGTAAACAATGTTCTCTCTTGCATGTATTACCAAGCTTAGCTTTACATTCATACTCGCGGAGAACCTAACGGGTAACCGGGGCTCCGACTCGACGTGCAGGAGAAGGAACGGGGTGGTTTTTAGTCAGTAAGAGTCTGACACTCCCTCCCGCCTCACCCAGGCGGGAGCAGTCATTCGATGATTTTCCCCCTTTAAAAAAAAAAGCTTTACATTCATAGAGATAGTTCCGTTGTCCAAACCTAGTCTAATATAACATAACATCACGCCTTTTATCCCCGAAGGGGTAGGCAGAGGTGTGCATTATGCCACTGTACAATGTAACACCCACTTTTCACTATTTATGTTATGAGTCCCATGTAATAGGGGGTGAGCCTATTGCCATATACCGGGCACAATTCCAGACTTCGTGCTACTACTGAGAATTTATAAAAACCCGTAGTACTTTGCCCGACCCGGGAATCGAACCCGAAACCCCTTGACCGGCAGTCGCACTTGCGACCACTCGGCCAACGAGGCAGTTCCTATATATCTAATATAATTTACACAAATTGTTAAATCCTTACTTTTATTCATAATTTTTCTATAAAACACTATTAAAGTGCAATTAACATTTCTTACAAAATTAACGGAGATTCTTATACAAAATATCAAACAGACGCATTGAACTAGAACAACGATTTGATACTCTTGGCTTCGACGGTCGCTATTCTCATATCGATATGTCCTTCAGCCACTCTTTCTTTGGTCTTAGTCAATGAGAAGTTAGCATATATCCTGCCTCTGGTGAAAGGGAAGCCCCTAGGGATATACGCAGGATTGATTGTCATGTTGTACAGGTTGACTTTACCCTGAAACAAAATAAATACACCTATAATCCCACGAGTGTGGGAGAGCCATGCTTCTCCACGAAAGGGCCGGCTCGACTAGAGTGATACCACGGCCGAGCACATAACCGACGTGAAACAACGCTTGCATTAGTATGAGTGAGGTTATCGGAGACCCAACTACCCCCTGCCCAATCTCCAAGCCCCGAATCCTCAACAGTCCTCAAATTCCTTATACCCAAAAGGCGGATAACGCACTTGTAACGCCTCGGTGTTCCGGGATTCCATGAGCTACGCCGATTGCTTACCATCAGGTGATCCATCTGTTTGTTTACCGGCTTATCCCATAAAACAAAAAGACTGGTAAACTTGCTTAAGTGCTCGATGATATTAATGGCATTATAACATTAAGGGTTGTAGTAATTGCTACTGATGTTTATGGGCCCCTGGCTTGGCTTGAAAGTAGTTGAGTAACCTCTTCGAACACTTACGTGTGTAAGCCGTATAATTCAATTGAATTAGAATATGATGACATTTAATAAAGTTACAGTAAAATACTTTCAAAAAAGATAATATTAATAAATAGAATATGCTACAAATAAAGGAATATTCACCGGTGGATGAGGGCATCCCCCTTTATATCCTCCTGCTCTTACAGCGGCGCCAAAGAACAGGTCTTTCTCGACGAGGTAGCACCAATCGAAGTGCATCTCAACAAAGCTGCGTTTGTACTGGTTCGACAGCAACTCGTAGAAATATATATCTATCTGTTAATAGAACACAGATATACATTAGAAAAAAACTATATCTGGTGGAATGCGGAGTGCATTCCGTGTGCTGATAGCAATTTTGCTTGTATATGTAGTCTGATGTTTTACGAATAGGTACAACGGGTACCTATTATGTTTTGTTAAACCGTTACTGCTGGTGATAACATAAGATACAGATTTGTACCTACTTTAACGAAAATTCCTGATTGCTTCAAAAGACACAAATAAATCAATTTGAAATATTATAACGTTCGCGTGATGACAATCAAGGTTCTGCAAGCCAGATACTTTCTGAAATAGGCAAATACAGTGTCGAATATATAAGCTTTTGCTTCAGTGTATGAAAACGGCGTCTTAGAATTTGAACAGAATGCAAACTGACCCCTTGTTTTGGAAAGTCAACTCTAGATGTATTGTTCGCTAGAGAACTAGATGCAGATAAAAAATTTATAGCTCTGTCAGGAATCGATATTAAACAGAGGTAAAAAAACAAAAGGAATGTTAAACGTACTCACATAGACATTACTACCCCATGGCATGAGGTGGTGGAAGTGGAGGCCTACGTAGTACACCGGGTTCGATCGACTAAACCTCTCTGATGTTAGATTAGCATAAACGAGATACTTTTCATTGATATAATCCACTTTCGGATGTTCAACGCTTAAGTACGTTATCTGCAATAAATGACCCAATTTCCATAATTCATATTAATAGGTAAGAAGTTAATTAAAAATACCGGCTTACTCACGTAAATATTGAGAAAAGCTCTACTAGTTTCGAATCACAAAGGGAGTCTTACTCAAGAGCAACGTGTGCTGACGCGGCGACGTCACGCAGCCTACTGATTATTCGGTATTTTTAATTAATTTCCTATGTCTGACGATAGCCATTATACAAATAGGTAAGGTATTAAAAATAATAACATGAAATGATAACTTGCCTTTTCAGAAACACAAGTTAAATAATACGTTGACAAAATTATTAAACAATGTCCGAGACTAATTTGTTCGAACATACTGCCATGAAAGATACGCTCTCACTGCGTTGAACCGAACATTGAATGCAGATATTTTACAATTTTATACACGGAACATTTTATGGTATGTACACATTCTAATTTAGTTGTAATTGCGACAAATTGCTGTCTCTGCGAGGTGAATGATTGAATTAAAGAATTATTTAGGGACGGGGTTGAGCAAATAATAGAAGAGAACACGTTAATGTTTTTATTTAATTTAAAAGAACTAAACTAGATTTGATGTGACCTAAAAAAATGTTAGCGAGAATTACACGTGCACAATAGTACACACTGTATCTAGGCAGGACCAGGCATGCTCGGCACAAGGCGCAAAGCCAAAGATATGCACGAAATTCTGTGTTGATAAACACAATATAAGATTAGAAGTTTTCCAGGAACAACTACCTACTTTTTCATAGTATAAGCCGGTAAACGACCAGACGTATTACCTGATGTTAAGCAACCGGGGCGCCCATGGATACCCGTAATTCCAAAGCAGTGACAAGTGCATTGCTGGTCTTTTGGAGATTGTTAGGGGTTTAAGGATTGAGGATGTGGAAGAGGAACGATTGAGTCTCCGGTAACCTCATTCACACAGTGATGTACAACGGAAGCGTTCACGAATCATGGCAGAGGGCGCGTCGGGCCCGCACCGCAGCAGACTCAAGTAGCCAGTAGCAGCGCGACAGTCAGCGCGTCGCGGGTCGCGGAATACTGCTCATGTATATGAACCTCTAGCATGGCTTGAAACTAGTCGAGTTCCTCGTCAAACAGCTACGTGAATTAGCCGAAAACATAATAATTAATTTAGTATGTCTCGTGTTGTGTATGTTTTGTGGTGCCGTGGACGAGTTTAAGATAAAAAAAAAATATTTAAAATTAAACAGTTATAAGTCAATTGATGCACACTTATAAACAATTAGACCAGTAAGTAGTTATTATCGGGAATGTTCTACGGAAGTGATGTTATTAAAAATTAAAATAACACGATTCAAAATGGCCACCGGAAATTAAATATGGCGGGACATAAACGTTTACCATGCCATTTTTTGATCTTTATCTAATAAACGCATTTTAGATTTGGTCAATCTAAATTACTTATTTGATTGTAGGCCATCGGCCCAAAGGTTGTGCATTACCATTTAATACGCTTGCACTTTGCCTTAAAAAAAGGTTTCTTACTGATCCTTCTGCATAGCAACACAGGCGATCAGTGTGACTACAATCCATAGACACTATCCACATTTAATAAATTAACTACACTGAACAAAGAAACGAAGTCACTAACTTTATTTTTTATTTTACCGAACCCTATATAACTTACAAAAATATTCAACAAATTACAAAAATATAACAAAATATTCATATACAGGTCTTTTTTGAAAGGTTATCTCTATAATAAAAAATACTCTTTTAAAGAAAATACTCTTTTTCTGGAGGAAATCACCTTCTATACGATATAACGCATAACATCACGCCTTTTATCCCCGAAGGGTTTGGTGCACATTACGGCACTGAATGCTACTGTAGGGTACAAT